CTTTTCTTCTTGAAGGTATTCAGTTTCCAAATCAAAATTGAAGCTTAATCCATTGATTTAGAGGGTGTAAAATTGGTTAGGATTATTTTGGGTAATTTTTGAGTGGAAATTTTGTAAGAGTTCCCTTTGTGTTTTTCAATTTTTCCTCCCCTTTTTATTTTTTCCAGTACCCATCTTTATATGAAATTTTGTGGAATTATTGAACTCATCTCCACCTTTAATTTGGAAAAATCTCAGCCCTTAATTCAATTTCGAATCATTCATTTGCATTTGTCCTAATTTTTAGCCATTTATTCATCTTTTTATCTAACCCTTCCAACTTGCTTATTTTTTTCCATAATATTTACTATAAGTTAGAATTAATTAATGCTCTAGCTTGGCCAAAGTTGGAAGGAAGATGACAAATTTTGGTCCTCCAAGTTTCTAGACTTTTCTATAGCCTATTCTTTCCTAAATCCCTCTTTTATGAAAAAACTAACTTCTAATCCTCCCTTTTCCGTTTATATGACTAATTTTTTACCCTTAACATTCTTACATAATTTAATTTGGATTATTAAACTTTTAATTTTATGCAATTGAGTCCCTAATTTTATGCAATTTAGTCCCTACTTTTAAAATTCCGTACTATACTCTTCACAAATACAATTTATTTACATAAAATATTCCAATATTTATTAAGGTATTTTATTTTAAATTTTCATAATTTTTGGACCTCATTTGATCCTCTAAATTAATTATTTAGTGTGAAATTCACACCATTTTTTATTAAAAATATTCCCTATACTTAATAAAATTAATTTAAATTTTCTAGGAACTCTCACACCTCCCATATGATTATTCTATGCTCTTAAAAAATTTCCTTATACTCTTATGGTGGCTAATTAAATTCGTTTCCTCTAAAAATACTATTCCAACACATCAAAATTCAAATAAAATATTCATAGCACATAATAAAATCCACCCAAGTACATAAAATAATTCAAAACCCCTCTAAAAATTATTCTAAGCACACAAACTATTTTTCATGCTTAAACAACATGCTTTAATTAGTTATTTCATGCAAAAACTACTATTTAGGCACCGTAAAATCAATAAAATATTCACTCGGGCATAAAATGACTATTTTATCTACTTTGAATATTTTCTCTAATCTTTGTGAACTACTTTATATCTTAAAATATATCTCATATGTTTTTAAATATTTAATTTTTATTTAATTTTAATTTTAGCGAGTATCGGTTATTACAATACTAGAGCTTCTAAAATAACAAATCTCGAGAAATGGAGAGTCTCAATTACGCTAAAAAGGAATAAAGGATATCAATAAAAAAAATTAAAAGAGTACAAGGTTTAAATGTGGAGAAAATCCTTTTTTAAATGAACTTTTTTGTGAAGAGAAAACTAAATAATTTATTAGATTAATAGTTTAATTATTTATTTGATATTAATTGAGTGACAAATCACATATTTGAAATTTTTAGTTAGATCCAAATTATTTTTTCTCGTACTTTTAATTGTTGTTGATTCATGTTTATAATAAAATTTTAACTCCATCTGCTTGCATTATATTCCTTTAACTTCAACAAAGTTCCTTATTAAAAAATAAATAAATTCAATGTTGAATAGAAAACTGTAATTAGATGTATCGTGTATTATGTAATAATAATTTATGCACATAAATCTTTGGTTATTCATGATATTTTTCTTTTTTATTCAATACAAAAAATTATTTGATAAATTAATTGAAAGTAATAAATGAAATTGCAAAAGGATTTATTGTTCAATGAAGCTACACCAATAATCTTTTAAGTTAGCATCGCATGATTTTAGATTCTCTCTTAGTTCAATAATGCTTCATAATGATAAAATTGTTCAGACTAAAATTTTCAACTCAAACAATTTTGACAGAGTAACATTGGGGTGAATAATGTTATGGATGTATTAAATACTTAAAAAAACATTAAAAATAACAAAAATGTTATTGATTTAAATAATAAAAATATCATCTAATAAATAATTTGTTATGAATATGTGAACAGTGAGGATAATAAAAACCTCACTTATTTTAGGATCCTTTGTAATTGATTTAGAGATTAGATTTAGCTGTATTGTGAAAAGAAAAAAAAAGGTTTCTTTTTGTCATACGTGATTGAAAGTGAATTTATATTGAAATTAATTATAAAAATAAAATAAAATATTAGATATTAGATATTATATGTATATGTATTTGATATAATAAAAAAAATACTCTAGATTTGGTAATTTTTGTGTGGGCCTTATGCATGGTTGAATATTGTAGATCTATTGATTTAATGGTCAATATGAATTTTTGAGTTTTTTTTTTTTTTTTTTTTTTTTTTTTGTCATGTTATCTCAATATTTTTCATTATTCTATTAAAAATACTTAAAAATCTAAATATTAGATATTTATACTTGTATATATTTGAAATACTAAAAAAAATTACTTCAAATTTGGTAAATTATGTGTGGGGCTTAAGTGAATCCTATGTTGAATATGATATTGTGGTTTTGAGCAAAAAAAAAAAAAAAAAAAAAAAAAAAAAAAAATATATATATATATATATATATATATATATATATATATATTTTCAAATTTTAAATAAAAAAATCAATTGCAAAATAAAGTTGGTTAAAATTAAAAACTGCAAATCTTTTGAAATTAATGGGGAAAATTATTATTCTATCGAGGGATTACATACAAAAACACCTTATATAGTTCTTTAATTTATCAATGATGGACAAGGAATGGATCATTGGCATGATATACATGCATTCTATATAATAATTTTTTTTTAAATACCATACACATCCTATTTGAAACTTCGATATTTATATTAATAAAAAAAATCAAAGCTTCAATATATATATATTTTTTAAAAACTAATCAAAGGAATTGTTTCATGAATCAACTAAAAGATTCAGATATTATTTTCTCTCTTTCTTCACAAACAAAAATTTTTTTTTTAAAAAAGAACTCAATATTATGCTGAATTTATTTTTATATAAAAAAACTAGAAAACTTTTTCTAGCTTACTCTATATATATAGTACAACTAAGCATCATAAAAAAAATTATTTCCAAAAAAAATCGCAAGAATAAATATTTATTTATTTTTTTAAGGCAAAAGAAAGGAGCCACTCAAAAAAAAAAAAAAAAAAAGATGAAAAACACTCATATCATAAGTATTTTTACTCTAAAAATTATAATTTTTTTCATTAAAGCTAAAAAAAATATTTTTCACGTGATTCAGTTTTTTCTAGCACAATGAAATATAATTCAATAGCAATTAGGGTTAAAATCACATATGATGAAACATTAATAACCAAACCAGATTAAAGATCTATATCATGAACTAAAAATCAATAGGAATATGAATGGTAAAATAACTATGCTCTCATAAAGGAAGAAATAGAATTACAAAAAAAAGGTATAAAAGTGAGCAAGGAAAGAAAATAAGTCAAGGATAATAAAATAACATCACAACCATTTAATGGTATTAAAGAAATTAAATACAAAATAGAAGTACGGTTGATTGCTCACAAAACTCAATAATAATGACAAGCTCAAAATCCAACAACAATGAAAAAAATTCAAGCGATAATAAAAACAATATATTTATAAAAAGAAAACAACGATTAAGATGCAACAAAAGAGAGCTACATTGTAGAAATAAGCTTACATTATAAATAAGTCACAATAAACAAGTTAAAAACAATAAAAACATCAAATTTTTAGTTTTTTTTTCTTTTTTTGTAATTTTCGGAGAAACGGGCATGCGAAATTTAAATTAATAGATGAAATTGTTTGAGAAGCCAAATTAAAGTAGCACAAGTCCATGCTGAACCAAAACTATTGTTCGGATCCAAACTCTATGCCCAGCCAGTCATTGAGGTTGGACAAAACAAATTCGAGACAGAGCATGATTATCCAGGTGACCAAGCACATCCCTGAGTGGCAAATCAGTTAATTTATCAAACATTATAAGAGATAAGCGTAAATACGCTTTTTTATAATTAAATTAGTATCGGCATAAATCTATTTGCCTGGAATTTTGAACCTCTTTTAGTTTTAGCCCTTCAAAGCCAAAGCAAAAACAGAGCAAAAAAGGGCACACTGACACTCATCTTTAAAGGTTCTCGATAGTCAAACAATCAAAATCCAACTCATAATTAGATTCTAAGAGCTTTCTCTTCACTTTAGAGCCCAAAATCACTAAATTGAATCACCATTCAAGCTTTTTTTTCTTTTTGTTTGGTTTTCTGAGGTAAGAGTTCTATAATCATGCTGTTATTATTAGCAGGAATCAATTATTTTCATTGTTCTAGTTTTTATTCTTATAAAATGAAACTGTTAATTATTTGAGTTTACATTCATTATGGTTTGTGAGAATTGAAGGTATTGAAGGCATGCTACTGTCAATGGGTGATCACTTGATTTTTGCTTTTTTATGTTGATTATTCTTTTTTGGGGTATTATTTGATTTTTTTTTAGATTTTTTTGATGTTTTTTACTGTGTTTTAGCTATAATGAGAGAGACCCATTTTGTGTTTCGCTCTCAATTTGAAGACATCAGATTCTGCCATAGTAATTTGGTTATTGCAGCTTGTTATTTAAGAAAGTAACTTGATTGGATTTTATTTGAATATCACTTTCTATGTATAAAAGAAAGTTCTTTAGTGATTTTCTTATTAAATTCATGGGCTTTTTGTGTTTATATTTCTGATCTCTGAGTGAATTTAGCATTGAATTGCATGCCATAACTGAAATCAGTGACTTTTAACGAACATGTCTGATATGTGGAAAGCACTCTATTGTAGAATCTATATGGTGTAGCTTTAAATTGTCTACTGAAGTTCTGATACCACTCGTGAACACTTTGCTTTCAAATTAGCCTATAATTAAATTATCATTTCTTGTTGATTTTGGACAGCAACTTGTAATTTAACCCGGAAGCAGGATCAGGCATAGTATATAGAAGCATGGTTACTCCCCAGCAGCGGAAGAAGAGAGTGGCATTTATCCTGATTGATGGATTGGGTGATGTGTCATTGCCAAGGCTTGGATACAAGACTCCTTTGCAAGCAGCAAACGTGCCTAACTTAGATGCTATTGCATCTGCTGGAGTTAATGGCCTTATGGACCCTGTTGAAGTAGGCTTAGGTTGTGGAAGTGATACTGCTCACCTTTCTTTATTAGGTTATGATCCACGAGTGTACTATAGGGGTCGAGGTGCATTTGAGTCCATGGGTGCTGGATTGGCAATGTCTCCTGGCGATATTGCCTTCAAAGTGAGTATATATCTTTGGTTACTTTAACCACTTTTCAAGATTTATTTTATATTGGTCTTGCCCTGGTTGATTACCATCTTGTTCTTGTATTAAGCTGTGGGATGTTGTCATAGCAAATACAGTTATTATATTCCATACTTAGATATTGCACTTTATCATTTACTCATGAACTTTTATTTTAAAAGGAATTTAGGTGTTATCCTACGTACACAATTTAACAAAGAAACTATGTTTAATACCTTAAAAACAGGGGTGGAATACTACTTGGGCCAAAGATGTTTTTTGTAGATTTGTCTCTATCAAAAGAAATTGTAAATGATTATAGGAACATATGTACTTAGGATCTTGAACTTAATTCCATGTCTTTCTTCCTTAATTTTATGTTTTTATTTTTTTAATGTTTTGTTTTTTGGGTTATGCTTTTTAAATCAGGGAAGAACATACTTGAATTATCTGTTTTTTTTTTTTTTAATTATTATTATTATTATTTATTCATGGGATTATGTTAAAGGGAGTGGAAACATTTAAAATGTTTGTTACTCGCTTTTATGGGCTTAAAATGAATCTCCTTCTCCTAACAGTCACTTATATTTTATCTATATAATAATACAAAGCGTGTGAAAAGTGAGAGGCAACAAAAATCCCTGTGGTCTGTGAAGTTGACAATTTTCCAGCTCTAACATAGCTCAATAGTTTTTTTCTTTTCCATTCCTTTCTATTTTTATTTTCTATTCATATGTTATGCTTCCAGTTATATTTGCTGCAGAAAACATTTTAACATTGAAAAAACTACAATTTGTCGTTGTTGGTTTTCCCATTTGATGCCATTTCTGTTTCTTTTTATCTGCAGTCAAATTTTGCAACATTAGATGAGAAAACAGGAATAGTCACCAGTAGAAGGGCTGATCGGCATTTTGAAGAAGAAGGGCCGATTCTCTGTGCAGCTCTGGATGGAATGAAGTTGCCTTCTTTCCCGAAATATGAAGTCAGAGTCAGGTGCAAATTCTTTTTAGATGCAGTAACTTCTTGATTGATCAAGGGAACAGGAATGCAGTTAATATGGATAATCTGAAAATTTTAGCCAGTCACCCTTCTTCTTTTTTTGTTCTATTGCATAGTCACCCTTCATCACCTGAAATTGCTTAGACTGTATTATTCACAACTTTGTTACAAGCTTGTTCATGTCACTGAACAATTTGAGTTAACCTTGTTCCTCAAAAAATCAAAATAACATACTGATGGAAGGGGCTTTTACCAAGTTTGCATTTTTTAGGTGTTTGAGAATGGCTTAATTCAATTGTTGCTTTAGAAAATTTCATCAGTATTTCTTGTTGTTTAAAAGTTCCAATTTTTCAATTGTCCTTTTGTTATTACTGTTTGGCTACGTGGGGGTATGTGTTTGGCTGTCCTATATGGGTCTCATCTAAATGATATCCATATAAAGGAATTCATTTATATGGGTGTCATCTAAATGATTCTAAGATAAGGTTAAAAGAGAAATGAAAAAGCATGCCTAACTTAGCAAGTTCAGCATAGTAGTTGTGGTTGGCTTGTCAAATAACTATCTCAACCTAAAAGCTTAAGCTATTAGGTGAGAGTTCAAGAATAGTTTTATATTACTCTCTAACACGCCCCTTCAAGTGAAACCCCTTTGGACTTGAAACTTGTACAGGCCCACCATTACCTTGTGCTTAATTAGAAGAGAAAGTAGGGGTGTTGAGTTTCAAATGCGTGACCTTTTGGTCATCGGGGCTCTAATACTATATCAAAGAACTATCTAAACTCAAAAGCTTAAGCTATTAGGTGAGGATTCAAGAATTTTTTTATATTACTCTCTAACATGGCTAACTGTCTTTTTTTTTTTTTGCTGAATTGCTCCAACCATCCATTATAAATCCATGTAAATTCTCTGAAACCTAGAATATGAAAATTTTTGGTCCTTTGTTGAAATAAAAAGAAACCACTTCCTACAGGTATGCAACAGAACATAGATGTGGAGTGGTGGTGAAAGGGTCAAGACTGAGTGGGAATATATCAGGAACAGATCCACTAAAGGACAACCGCTTACTTCTTCAAGCTGAAGCTTTAGATGACACTGATGAGGCAAAACATACAGCTGCAGTTGTTAATGAGTTATCCAGGGAAATATCTCGTATTCTGGTTTCTCACCCATTAAATGCAAAACGAGCAGCAGAAGGAAAGAATATTGCCAATGTGGTCCTTTTACGGGGATGTGGCATTCGAATTGAGGTGCGTTGTCTTAATTCTTCCATGAATAATGGCCAGGTTTTTCTAGGAAAGGCAGTAAGCATCTTAGGAAATTAATTTTCAATTTTTTTGTAATCATTTTAGCAATCAGTGGGTGGGAATTGCTTAATCAGTTGAAGAACCTCATTTGTGCTGTTTCCCTTAATGTTTATTTGTAAGATAAGCAATAACTAAGCCAACATGAGAAACTTTTAGATTGGTCAAGTGTTGATTTGGTCCTGGGCTTGGCTGGTTGGTTTGGATTTTCGTTTTGAAAGTGTCATTATTTGGATGACTATTTTTATGGGAGGTAAAATTTCACACCTAACACTAAATATCACTTGCGGCATGGGAGGGGAGGGACTCTTGTTGCATTCTTAACTTTTCAATTTTCATAATTCTGCAGCTATGTCTGTGCAATAATTAAGATTGCAAGGTTGCAATAAAATTTGATAGATCTTAATGTTCAGTCGAAGATTACTGAGTACAAAAGAAAGGAAGGACCTGAAATTTTTAACGAAGAGCTGTATCAATTGTTAATATGCGGAATTCCTTTCTTTCATATATTCTAATCATATATATACAAGATACAATGACCTATACATGATAAATAGATCAAACCTACAGCTGTGTGTATATTCCTAATTTAAGAGAAAACTATATAGGAAATATACATGATAGGAAATAGGAAAGAATACAGCTCATTCCCTCTAACTCTCCCCCTCAAGTTGGGGCGTAGATATCACACATGCCCAACTTGGATAGCAAAGTATAGAATGGCCCACTAGCGACACCATGAGTCATAATATCAGCCAACCTGATCCGAACTTCGGTATAAGGAATCTCTATTGTGCCGGAATCGAGATTATCTTTGATATAGTTTACGTCAAGTTCAACATGCTTAGTTCGATCATGTTGCACTTGGATTATTAGCAATCTCAATAGCTGCTTTGTTATCACAAAACAACACCATAGACTTCTTTGGACCAAACTTGAGTTCTTCTAAGAGGATTTTTAACCAAGAAAGTTCAGTGATTGCATGATGCATAGCACGATATTCAGTTTCTGCACTTGATAATGAAACCACATTCTGTTTTTTACTTCTCTAACTCACCAAGTTGCCACCAACAAATGATAAATATCCGGAAGTAGATTTTCTATCCAATCTACTACCATCAAAATCGAGTCCGTATAACCCACAACATCAAGATGTCCATGTTTGGAAAATAAGACACCTTTACTCGGAGCTGATTTTAAATAAGCCGGAATTTGATTCACAACATTCATGTGTTGATCACTTGGATTGTGCATAAACCGATTCACAACGCTAATCGCATATGCTAAATCCGGCATTGTGTGAGTTAAATAGATCAACTTTCTCACTATCCTTTGATGTCTCTCCTTGTTTGCTGGAATTTGATCGGGAGAAATAGACAAGCCATGATTTACCTCAATAGGAGTATTTATAGGCTCACAAGCGAGTTACCAGTTTCAGCAAGGAGATCTAGAGTATACTTCCTTTGGGAAAAAAACGAGCCTTGCTTAGATCAAGAGACTTCAATGCCTAGGAAGTATTTGAGAAGCCCCAAATCCTTTATCTTGAATTCTTCGGTTAAATAGCTTCGAAGTTTCTCAATCTCATCTTTGTTATTGCTTGTTACAATCATATCATCAACATAAACAAAAAGCAAGGTAATATTATTATGATCTTGTTTATAGAACAAGGTATGATCTCGCCAAGGCTTGCTTGAATCCATACTCCTTCATTGCATGACTCAACCTCCCAAACCATGCCCTTGGTGATTGCTTTAATCCATACAATGCTTTTTTAAGTTTGCATACCTTTCCTTCTTCTAGGGTAAATCCCGGGGGTGGATCCATAAATACTTCCTCCGTCGGATCACCATGAAGGAAAGCATTCTTCACATCAAACCGTCGTAGAGGCCGATCCAAATTAACCGCAAGTGAGAGTATGACGCGAACAATATTCATCTTGGCAATCGGTGCAAAAGTCTCTTGATAGTCAATACCATAGGTTTGAGTATAGCCTTTTGCGACTAGCCTACCTTTGTATCTTTCCACCGTCCTATCCGGCTTGTATTTAACGAGTGTATACCCATTTGCACCCCATAGTCTTTTTTCCCACGGGTAAATCGACCATTTCCCAAGTAGAATTCTTTTGGAGAGCCATCATTTCATCTACCATTGCATCCTTCCACTTAGGATTTTTGAGGGCTTCTTAAAAATGACTAGGAATAGGTACGGAAGATAACCGAAGAGCAAATGTTAAGTTAGTTTTAGATAAACGATGATAGGATATAAAGTCGGAGATCGGGTAAACAACATTGGGGGTTTTTGAGAAATCGAAGCTATCGGTTGCTTTTCTTTCACGAAGAGGATATCTCCTATTCTAATCAACATTAGAATTGAAATTGGAATTTTCGGGAGATTCGAAAGAATAAATGCATACCTTAGTGTCGGTCTTAGAAGATTCATCCGATGGCATGGTAGTATCATCAAGGGAGGCACTAGAATTAGGAGGCAGAGCAATGATATCTTCCTTTCTCCTTGAATATCCCTTCTCAAAGAAATGTGCTTGGTCTCTCGGGTCTCTCATCATTCGGTTCAATTTTATTTTCCTCAACAAAAGGATCATCTAAAACTAAGGATTCCCTATTTGTCTTAATGTTATCCGTACTCGAGGTCCATATGTGTTTTTCTCTCAACCATAGTTGTTCCTCTTCTTTACTACCATTCTCCCCCGAAGAGGAACCATAGATATATCGCCTCGAAAATAAGTACTCATTTTCACGGAATTGAACATCCATCGACACATAATAGGTTCTTGTGGGAGGATGAAAACATTTGTATCCTTTTTGTGAATTAGAATAGCCAAGGAACACACATTTGATAACACGGGGACTAAGTTTATATCTATGAAGAGAATGAATATGAACATAGCATACAAGGCTAAAAATCTTAGGACAAATATTAAGAGCATATGGAATAGGATGAAATCTATATAACATCCTTAAAGGAGTTTGAAAATCAAGAATCCTAACGAGGCATTCGATTGATAAGAAAAACGAGCATTCATGACAGCTTCAGCTCAAAAACGTTTTGGAACATGCATAGTAAAACATAAGGCTCGAGCCATTTCAAAGAGATGACGATTCTTACATTCTCGCTATGCCATTTTGTTGGGGTGTGTAAACACAAGTTATCTAGGAAAGAATGCCATGTTGTGTCTTGAACTTAGCAAGAGATTGATTCACAAACTCACGATCATTGTCGAATGAAAAATTTTAATTTTAGTGTTAAATTGGGTGAGAATCATGTTGTAAAGCCGAGGAATAATATGGGAAACATCACTCTTAAATTTTATCAAATATACCCAACTAACCCTAGTACGAGTCATCAATAAAAGAGATAAAATACTTATGTCCCGAAGCGAAGTAGTGAAAGGACCCCATACATCGGTATGAACACATGAAAAGGGAATAGTGCTTTTATTAAAACCGACTTTAAAAGAAACAAGATGGTTTTTAGCATAAATGCATTGTTCACACTTTAAACTAGAAATAGAAATGTTGAAAAATAATTGAGGAAACAATTACTCTAAATAAGAAAAAGATGGATGTCCTAACCGACAATGCCAAAGCATAATTCTCTCTCTATCAGATTTTTCTCTCTTTGTTTGAAAGCCACGAGGAGGTGCTACTATGCCTCGATTGTCCTCCAAATAATACGGACCATCTCTCTCTTTACCAATGCCAATGGTCATCTTCGTAAGATTGTCCCGAAACATACAATGAGTAGGGTGAAAAATGACAGAACAATTTAAATTTTTTGTTATCTTGCTAATGGAAAGAAGGTTGTTTGAAAGTTTAGGTGCAAGTAGAACAGAGGACATAGAAATGTCGGAGAAAGAGACACATTTCCAGCCCTCGTGATTGACATAGAGTTCCCATTAGCAACTTGTACGGACTTAATTGGTGGAGATGTTAGGGAATCAATGATAGAAGAGTTACTAGTCATATGATCGGTGGCCCTCGAATCAATAATCCAAGTATTAGGACAAGTAGAAATAATGGATAAACCAAAATTACTTTCTTGGGAAGATGTTCGAGATACATGAGAAGCGAGAAGATGGAGTAGTATCTATGGCGGTAGCATTCCGAGTAGGACTTCGTTTTTCCTCTCGACTTGCTTCGAGTTTATACCATTCCGGATAGCCATGCTTCTTCCAAGCAAATATCAACCGTATGTGTATTCTTATGACGGTGGGTGCAAAACCGAGATTGAGAAGTTGTAGAAGTGCTCTTTTGGACGGTTAGAACCGAAGCTTCGTAGTGGATTTCGCCCCCATGGTAACTCGTCGTTGAACTTCTCGACGAACCAAGGAGTAAGCTTCTTCTAATCATGGTAGAGTAGCAGCAGCTAGAACACGATTACTAACTTGATCTAAATTATGACCAAGACTAGCAAGAAAGATATAGACCCTGTCTTTTGCCATACGGTTGCTGTATTTTTCTATATCAGCGAGCACATGTCATATCATTGGGCCTTCGATAATCAATCTCCATAAAAATTGAGTTTAATTCATTGTAATATTCAGCTAGAGGTCGGCCACCTTGACGTGATTGGAAACACTTCTTCATGAGTTCATAAACTTAAGAAGAATCGGATGCATCAAGGTAACTTCTTTTCACGAGTATCCCGGACTCCTTTTGTTGTGCCACATTGCACGAGTGTGACATTAGATTATCGCTCATTGAATTAATGAGTCAAGATTTGACAAATGCATCTTCGGCCTCCCATTCATCATAGCTCGGATCATCTTCTGCTGGTGCAGCCTTCTTTCCATTGATATAGCCCTTCTTTTTCTTCCAAGCAATATGCATCTCCAAGATCTTAGACCGGACCCGATAGTTAGCACCATCCAATTTAATATGGATGGATGAAGGAGCATCGTGACTGATTATGGTGGAGGTTTTCTTGCTGTCGTATTTGCAACCTCGGGTTTGGTAGACATACCGAGATGTGGCTAGTGTTTTAGGGAAGAAAGGAGCAAGCAATCGCGGCTAGGGTTTTGAAAAAAAGGAAAAAGAGCAGCTGCAGCTAGGGTACAAGGCTCGATACCAAATTGTTAATATGCGAAATTCCTTTCTTTCATATATTCTAATCATATATATACAAGATACAAGGACCTATACATGGTAAATAGATCAAACCTACAGCTATGTGTATATTCCTAATTTAAGAGAAAACTATATAGGAAATATACATGATAGGAAATAGGAAAGAATACGAGTTCATTCCCGCTAACCGTATCATATAAGATGTTTCAAATGTAACTTTGTATGTTGTAGCTGTACAAATTTGAGTATATTGCTTATTATTATTTTGCAGGTTCCTTCTTTTCAAAACAAACATGGTTTATGGCCATGCATGGTAGCTCCCACCAAAATCATAGCTGGTTTAGGACTATCACTAGATATTGATATCCTAGAAGCTCCTGGAGCAACTGGAGATTATCGAACACTTTTGACTTCCAAAGCAAATGTCATAGCTAAGGCACTCTCAACTCCATTGGCACCTTGTCCCAATGTATTTGTACCAGGGGAGGATGAGCACAAACCAGGACGACCAGATGGCTATGATTTTGGGTTTCTCCACATTAAGGTCTTAACCTTCTCAGTCTGCACATTGTCTTTATCTTTTTCGGTGTTGTCACATCAAGTGCATAATTAAAAAAATGCTGCATTGTGTAGCAGAATGAATTTTTATATTGTTTTTCTTGCCTAGTTTCTTTCACCTTTTTCTGTTCTTTAAAAATTTATCTCATATTAATCATTGTTAGACAGAAAATATACTATCAGGAACTTGCTTGCGTTTTAGGCTGAAATCGTATATCATGCTGTCTAGTCTTGTTACAGCCCAAGGACTTTCTAGGAGAAGGATCCTTTCCAGGATTCGATGTCCCAAAAGCATTGAGACTGATTGAGCTTGGACTGTAAGAGTTGAGCACAACATCAGCCTTTTGTTTGGAAAAAGAGCTTGTTTTATTTCTTGACAAGGCTAAATTAATAGCTCTAAAATCATTTTATTGCTGGAGGCTTTTTCTCCCATTCATTGATTTACCATATATTTTGTTCCCTTGTGAGTTATCTGGTCTGGATTGAAAATTGGCTGAAAGGTTGAATGCCTGACGACCTCTATTCTTAGATTTGAAGTTCTCAATGTCTTATTGGTAATTGATTTACTTGATTTATGGTATTTCAGGCAATAGATGATGCAGGCCATGACAAGGCAAGCATTTTGAAAGTTAAAGCGTTGGAAGCTGTAGATCGAGCTATTGGCCAGCTGGCCAAGCTCCTCTTGCAGGCAGAATCATCTGGAAAGTTTCAGTACTTCCTTTGTGTCACTGGAGATCACTCTACACCTGTTGAATATGGAGATCATAGTTTCGAACCAGTTCCATTTTCCATGTGCCAGTTGAAAGATTTTGTGGGTGCCGTGGGTGGAGAGTCAATCATCATGGAAACTTCTCTTGATCCATTTCCTCTTCCAACTGTTAAGACTGGTGAAGACCTAGTGGAAGTTGAAAAGGTGGAAAAGGAGAGGAGCAGCAAGCAGCTTAAAGCTTTCAGCGGTGATTCAGTTTGTGAACTTAGTGAGATATCAGCAGCAAGAGGATGCCTTGGACGGTTTCCAGGGGGACAAATGATGGGTATTGTCAAGGCATTTCTAGAACTGAAAGCATAACTCGTTCTCCCAGAACTTCCGGTAAGGCCTGGGGTTCTGAATAATGTTATTATTTTAGCTGAAAAGAGATGGGGAAAAAAACCGTGATCTGATGATTTTCAAGTTATTGAAATTTGAATGCTTCTGCTTTACAGAAATAAGAACGACTTGTACTAACGTGCAAAATAAAACAAACCAATAGTGATGTTTCAATCCCTCTCTCCTAATGGCTAATGAGAATTTCCCTACCTTTTTTTTTTTTTTTTACCAAAAGGTGGCAAAAAAATTTTGTAGTTGAAAGTCGAAAACTTTTAAGTTTATATCCTTAGCTAACGCATGTCTGTCGAATGTTGATTTAAGTGAGCTGCTTGTTTTTGTTGCTGTTTTACAAGCAGCTACTTTCCCTTGGTTTACTTCTTGTATCATGTGGCTATACCGATTTAATAAAGCTGTCGAGTAGCTTTGGCATGAGAGGAGTATTGCACATTGTCAATTTTAATGCTAATTTGATTATTTCTAATAAGATATGTATGACGAGAAGATGATTTTCTCTGTGTTCTCTGGAAGGTCCATCATACCCATAGCGCTTGTAACGTAGCATCCACCATTTTCCGATCGATATGGTCGCCCACCGTTTTATTATAAATATTCTGTTTACATATATCATGCCATAATAAACACAGAAAAAGTGTTTGGGCATGCATTACATTCTGGGGTCTATTTAATTAAGTAAAGCTCTGATATAAACCACTTCTCTCTTTTCTTTTTCTTTTCTTTTTTTTTTTTTTTTTTTTTAATGTTTCAAGCTGAGGTGCTTAAATGCAATTTAGATGGCCGTATGTTCCCAACCCTGGCTTGGACAGTCAGAGTTCCGAGCTTGGCCTGATTCCTAAAAGCAACAGACATCCCCAGAACCTATTTTAGTTGCATGCATATGGTTCATGAGAGAGTAGAAATTGGATGCAATTGAATTAGTTCTCATTTTTAGGTTCTAATTAGTTGACAAGGATCGAATAGAGCCATATATATTAAAAACGCAATCAGTGTTTATTAAATCTGATTGAACTTCTAAAGCAGCAGCCAAACCAAAAAAGTTTGTGGTTATGCTTTGCAAAGTGAGTAGATATAAAGTGAGCCTTATCTCTTTCTTTTGCTTTTACCTCTAATAGTATGACAACTAGGGTTGCCAAAAGCCTATTTTCTTCGTTGGATATGCTGCCTTTAACCTAATCATGCAAATCCATGCCTATTTGATTTGATTAACCAATATTTATGATGTGATGACATAACGAAAACCACTTTTCGTACCTTAATCCATAAGGCATGCATCAGTTATATCTAGCTCCCACTTTCACTCCACTTGACTGTGAGACAGAAAGATGTATGTGACAAGGCCTCTTTCCTTGTACCGGAATTTCCCAAGTGCTCTTTCAAGAGAGCCACCGGAAGGTCCATACACTGGCTACCTAGTAATTACTGATGAAGAAGCAGAAGCAAAACAAACATACTGTTGGGGTATGTGTAAGAGCAGAAGAGTTAAAAAGCTACCGTTCCCTCAAGACAAGATATTGTCTATAGTTCATTCATCTGATCATGAAGAAACTATAGTGAAGAAGGTTTGGTTCATCCCAGTTCTTGATCAGCCTCTATCCTCTAATTGCTACTATGCTATCAAAGCTAAAGGCTCACGCAAAGGGTATGCAATTTCTTTCTCTAAATATTAATCGTCATTTATAATTAAGTACATCCAAAAAAAAAAAAACATTTAATGAATTTGTTTAACTTGCAGGCAAGCTTGCACGTGTTCAAGGGAGATGGACATGGGTTTATGGTGTTTCAAGAGTGTCATAAATGACATAAAACCAAAGCCATTAGATTACAGAAACATATACCAACAATTCAAGATTCATAGACATCACGGAAAGAGTTTCTTCTCTAAGTCTCTTGCCCCGGATGGTTTTCCTCCAAAATTTCTAAGAAAAAAGGGCTGGGAAGTTAGAAGCTCAAGATCTCACAAATGCGGACTAAGGGAAGCTCTAGGCCTTGATGTTTCTCTCCGATCACAACTTCCAAGCTTCGACTTTCCAATGTCCACCAAGAGCTCCTCTCGTGTCATGGTTGGGAAATGGTATTGCCCTTTTGTGTTTGTTAGAGAAGAACCTAGAATAAGGAAGCAAATGAGGAGCACAATGTTATATAGCATGACTCTTGAGCAATATTGGAAGGAGATTTATTCATGCGAGAATGTTAGCAATGGAGTAGGAAATGTTGTGGATGTCAACGTAAATGTGCAAAGAGAAATGGATTTTGTCTTTGGCATGGAAGCAATGAGGGATGGTAGAGTTAGTCATGGTGGGATTATATGGTATAAAGTTGTAAACGGAAACAGTACTAGTGGGAGAGGTTTTAAGGTGGGCTTAAGTGTTGCAACTGTAGAAAAGATGAAATGGGTGCAAGAGGCAGGAGGATGGATTGATGGGGCAGATAGAAATGAGAGAGTGGAGAGAGTAGTAGAAATTACAAGTGAAAATGGGTGGAGGAAGTTTGGATGTTATGTGTTGGTGGAGAGTTTTGTGTTGAGAAGAATGGATGGAAGTTTGGTGTTGATATGTGACTTTAGGCACACCCATAAAATCAAATGCAAATGGGAATAGTTCTGGTATATTACCATCTAAATATATCATATGATGTGCTTATGCTATTAGAATCCTATGTGCATAGTGTTATTAGATTGTGATGTTTGTGTTATTACTTATTATCGTAACCTAAGAAAAATTGTGATGTTTAGTGTTTTTAAACAAATAATATATGTTAAAATAGTAAGAAAGAAGACTAGTTTAGCTTCAAATCTCAAATTTAAGTTTTATCATTGATTATTTGATAAAGTAGCATATCAAAATTCTAATAGAGATTTGTAGAAATATTTTAACTTTTGTCTTTTCAACGTTAAAATAAAAAATAAAATGTTGTTTAGTAACCAAGAATAGAGTGATGGAAATAAGAATTGAAGTTTTATTTCAATGTTTTAGTTGTTTGGTTAAAAGAAATAGGAATGAAAATTTACAACGTTAAAATAAAGTGAGAATGAGAATGAAGAGTGAAAATAGGAATGAAAATTTACAAACCAACTTCATTCCCATATAAGATATGGGAATAAAAATAAAAAATGAGAATGAAATTTTTTAAAAAATAATAATATATTTTATTTATTTACCGTCTATTAACTATTTTTGCCACCGTTGTTGCCGTCACCACCACCATTAACATCACAACCACCGCAAGCACCACTACTATTGTAATCACCACAAGCACCACCACCACCACTACCACAATAACCACCACAACTATCACCATTACCTTTATTATTTTCACAACCATTATAGTTTGATAAAAAAAAATTTAATCATTATTTTTATTTGTATAAAAAACTAGATATTAAAAAATTTAAATTACATTTCGATTTCTCATTAGTATTTCAAACACGGTATGAGAATATAGATGCTATTCCGATTTCTTAATTTTCATTCTCATTTATGCATTCTCATTCCGGATCTTTCATTCCCGATAACCAAACGATACCTAAGTATTATTATTATTTTTTTTAAAAGAAAAGTTCGAGGTCAAACATTACAAAGCTAATGATGTTATAAACTTGTTAAAAAGAAATAAATAAAAAAAATCGATTGAGGTGTGCATATGGGGCTATAAATATGAGTTTAGAAACTTTTTTTAAGGAAGTCCCAATTAAAAGTTGAGGAAATATTACGCCGTCTCAAAACAAAAGGTCTTTTTGCATCAAATATTGAACCTTCATAACTCCCGATTGTCCCATCCATATCCTAACAATCCACATAAATAGATTGGACTAGGTTATAACTCACGTTTCCTTACGGGTCTAGAATGGTTAAAAGTGTAAAAACACTTAATATTTACAAATTAGGTTGGAGACAATTATCAATTTAAACAATCTATAGGTGGATTGAGATTCTTATTGCAGCGAGTTACTAGATTTGTGTCCGTACTACGTCTGCGAGATAGGTAAACGCGTTTTTAGTGAATGGATTGGAAATAATTTGTTTGATGTTATTTTTTTTCATGTCAAGTAATATGCGGGGAGGTGTGTTTTGTTGAAGGAAAGAATGAATTAAATGCTTCTAGGTTATTTATTTTTGTTTTTTTTTTCCATTCTATATGGAGGTTTTTGATTGTCGAAATAAGGATGTGTTAATTTTTTTATTTGGAACTCGAATATAGATTTGCTGATAAAAGGAAATATTTTAACTTCATAAAGGAAAGATACATTTCTAGCAAGGGAATCAAAGTGAAAGCAGCTTTTATTCGCCAAAGCATAAGGTGTTTCTAGGTTATTAGCACGAACATATAATTTTTAGGTGGCGAGAATCAATTTTCTAGTAGAGGTAGATGCTCCTCGTGTTCGTTGTCTTCGATGTTTTCATAGATATTACTTGTTATGAAATGGTAATCCAAGATCGAACCGAATTAGAAGTTTCTTTGAACCTCAAAAATCTTGAATTTGTTGGATGCCTCTATCAATGGTTGTGGAACAATTGTTTTGCCGATCCATCCATAGTTGCGAACCATCTCTTGGCGACTATGGCCTAAGTATTTTGCGAGTTGGGGATCTAGCAAGGAACATTCTTGCTTCAGCGATGCCATCATTGATTGAATAGGTCATGTGATACCCGAAAGAAAATAAATTCAAAGGGATTAAGATATATTCAATAAATGGTTAAGTGCTTTGGCTATTTTATTTTGAAGCGTTTGTGGGAATGAAAAAGAACATGAGTCGTTTAAGGTGTGTACTCTAGCACAAGGTCAGCAGTAATTGCTCCATGCAATGGACATGCGAAGGTGCATCCAAATTTCGTGAGATATTTATGGCGTTCGGGACATCCTAAGTATAACCAACCATGTGTTGCGTCTATATTCGTGACGGCAACTCTTAATGATGCTGCTGCGTGGAAGAATTTGAAGGAATAATATTTTAGTTCATAACTAAATCATGTCACTTAATGTGAAATGGTGATATGAAGAATGAAATAAGATCAAAAGTGTTTATATCATGTTGCTTAATATGCAATGGTGATATAAAAAATGAAAAAAGATCGAAACTAACTATGCTCGGTTGTGTCGAGTCTGTAACGGTGGTTTGTAGGAAAGGGACTATTTGTCGGTTGGGTTTTTTGGTGGAGTTTTTGGTTATCCGGCCAAAGTAGCAACAAAAGTTATTGGCGGGAAAGTAAGGCATTTGTGATTGAGTGTAAGGGCTAAAAATTTAAACTTAAGCAAATCATACGTAACACACTTGAAATTTTCATGTTAATATAAGGCAAACAGGTTTGTTAAAATCGATCTTGAGAGAAAATCATTTAAGGGGCATCGGCCACTTGTGCCCACTCTAAAACCCAATATAGTGGAGCCTCCGTTTTCCGTAACTTATTTAAGCCTAGGCTTAACGAAGGCCCGAGTTAACTTATCAAAGGTCGAAACCTACGTGGCTCTCAATCTTTTTCCTTGAGAGGCCAGCTCTAATAGATAGCTTAGTTGAAGCTGAAGCCTTTTTTTTTCCTAGCTCGAATCTCTTCTTCTTATTTGGTGTTTCTTCGCCTTAACCCAAAGATATATTTTTTTTCTTTTCCTTACACATTTATATTGCTTATGTCCGAAAAACCAAGTGACTCATATATAGCTAAATATGAAATGAAACCAACGTCTTCTTCTCTCCCCGTCCCCGTCCCATGCTCCTCCCCCCGTCCTTCTTCCTAGCAACATTGGACGGATTTGAGCATTCAAACAGGAAAAAAAAAAGAGAGAAACGAGAGGTTTTCATAGTGTTGCTCGACTAGAGCAATCGAAGAGATAAGATAAAGGAGGCTTTTAGAGAAGAAAAAAGGAAGCTATGAATTTAGCATGTTGAAATTGAGCACCATATGTATGACGGTTGCTTGACCATGATTAGGCGAAGTGGGAAAATTTGGCTTATATAGCTTTGTCAATGATTAAGTTGGATGCGGTTTAAAAAGTGATAAATTTGAATGAATGGCAAGTGCAAATGATTGTACATTTTTCTATTACATATAAATCATCTAGTTGTTTGAAGTGATAACCTTTAAACTCGTCAATAGGTGGTTGAAGTAGGTGCTCAATTATTGCTCTGTTCTTGTTCTCGGGATGCACTTCATTCATGGCTTTTGAAAGGAAGAAAATGAAATTTTGGATATAAGGTTTTTGATAGGTTTAGTGGAAAAAGGAAAGAAGCGAGTATGTTTTTTTTATTTGGGATGAAGGTTGTATTTATAGAAAGAGTATGGCTTTTGTAATGGTAGGTGTTAAATGCAAAAAATATAGTCTTTTAGGTCATTCGACATTTATTTTTTTATACAAATGGTGTGGATAGAGTTGTGCTATGTAGTTTTTGCAAAGGGAAAGTGAACTCGTATTGGGGTTGGGGCGGTGCATCTCGTGGCATGCATATAGTCATCGGGTCCATTACATTGCATAAGAGACGAGTATATCCAATGTGAGATAGTCGTAGTCTAATGTTTCTGTGTATCTTAGCTAAAAATATAACATGATATCGGAATGTAGGTGCACAAACTTAAATGAAAATTTTGTAGAACTTTAAATTCTTTGAAGCAACTAAAGCATAAACCATGCAAGCATAGATTGTTCAAAAGCGAGTACATAGCTTGATGATATTTTTGCGAGTTGATATTGTGAGGCTATGATTAACCCACCAAGCAAATATATTTAATCCAAAAAACTATACATAGATAGATATAGTTTTTAAATGCCGGTAATGCATAAACCTACTATTCGAACATGTTATGGGCGGGTGTGCCATGAACATAGAAGCTTGATGCTAATCAAAAGGGCTTTTTCAAAAGGTGCCATCCAACGATGGTCCGCAAAGAGCAAAAAGTTTCAGCTTTGTCAAGGTTGCAATGGATACATGAATAATTTTTAAAATCCGTTATAATGAATTAAACCATGGAGGGACGAACCCCTTAGTTTGATGAAGCCACGCTTTGCTTTTTTTTTTTTTTGTGCGGCAGATTCATCGGGGCAAGAGCGGGAAGGGGTGTAGTTTTGATCGTCGCAACCACTAAGCCAAGTTAGGGGCCGCGATTCAAAAGAAGAGCTCGCTAAGGGAAAGCTCAAGGACATAAGTAGTTCGATTGTGATACAATTATGTAAACATAATGTTATCAAATTGTTTGAAAAAGAAAGAATGATGTATGTATCTATCGATTAGTACATTGATTTTGAAAAGCTAAAAATGTAGTTAAATTCCCAAGATATAGTTCCGAATGGAAAAAATGGCATAAAATACAAACCTATCGTTGCTTTGAATGGTGGAGTCGGGCATGAAATCTAGCCTCGCGTTTTACGGTTTGACATGTGATCGATGTTTGCATCTTTTTTTGTTTCAATTGTTTGTGGAATTCGTTGGGCCGGTTGATGCCGCAAATTCGTCGGTTCTCCACGATGGCTAGAGTATGGGGTGTTTGAGCTGGTTCCTTCGTTGGAGCCGCATTTGCCGCCGATTCCATTACAATGAGTGCATGAGTTGTTTCGCCATGGATTTGGTTAGTGGGAAGCTCATTATTAGAATCATCATCAAAGACATTAG